TTCGAGTTGTAAACCCCATAATTTTGGTTTATGTCACCAAAAAATTGGAAGTTTTACTCCCACTTTGTTTACTTCTAAATTCACATTATCTTGGGTTAATGAATTTAAATTATCATTTGTTATTTTCTCCATGTTTATTAAAATAGCTCATTGTGCAGCTCTAGTGCGACGTTAAAGTACCTATCTACATACCATGTTTAATGTAGTTAAATCAGAAAATAATAGTGATATTTAAATGCACAAACCTTTTTTCATCCAAATAAAATCTTCGCAATCTTGAAGTACTGCCGTCTTCAGTTGCAATCGAAGGTGCTTAATCTTCCTCTACTGTCTGGGATTTTGAATGAATAAATACAAAGAAAATCAACGACTTTATAACATTCAATATCTACAGTTATTTACAATTTAATTACAAGTTAATACATAGTTAAAAGTATGATCAATATCAGTTATTAAATACATTATTAATGAGGATAACTATTTACATCAATTCAAATATAAATATAAAGGATTCAAATATAAAGAACGTCAGAATTGTAATTAAAGTTACGGCAACACGCTGTTTACAGTTATATAAAATTAAACTTTGATGCATGTGATTTCACTGACCCTGCGCATCACATACTCTTTGTCCTATAAGTATCTTGAGTATTTTGTTATGGAAAAGCACCATAGCTCTTTTAAATGATGTACAGTAAAATTCCTTAGTGATTGTTACTTTTATTAGTGATTGTTATTTTTATTAGTGATTGTTATTATTTTGTTAACTTTAATTTTTTTTGACTCCATTGTAATTAATGTAAGACTTTAGCTCCCAGGAAACCCTTGATTTAAAAAACACATACACTTAGATAGCGCAAACTTTTATTCAGTTTAAATAAAAAGAATTTCCATTACGTTTTTGAATAAAATTAAAATCTTATTGTTACGGTACTTAGTAGGATAAATGTTACGAAGATTTTATTTTAGTGAAAACAAGCATTGATCAGCTGACCCAATTCTGAGTTTACCACTATCAATGTTCATCTCTGTAGTCTTGTAATTTTGATCCCAATCCAGAAGATAGAGAACTCATGGAACAAGCATTGATAGAAACTAGACTTAACGGAGGAATTTTTGATGGAACTGATCCGAGGAACATGTAGAAGAAAACCACGAAAACCTCCCATGATAAGCCTGGCTGCAAGGAGACTCTAACCCATGATCCGTCTTCCACTGAGAATAATTTACGCCACCAGTGCAATCGGTGCAAGCCGGTTGCGGAGTTCATATCCAGCAGCTATTGCTGGGATTCGAACCCGGTTCACCTCATTGGAAAGCGAACGCTCTATCACCTTAGCTACCACGGCTCAGCTATTAATAATATGGCATGACATGACATAATATAGCATAACCGTTGTTGAACAGCTTATATTTTTTGGTATTTGCGTTTGGAGAGGAAAACCATGAAAACCTCCCATGATAAGCCCAACATCAAGGAGATTCTAACCAATGGTCCATCTACCTGTGAGGATATTTTATGTTAGCACTGTTGTTCGTGCGAGCCGTTAGCAGAATACGCATAGATCAACCAACGCTGAGATTCGAACCTGGTTCACCCCAATGGGAGGCGAGGGATCTATCCCCTGAGCTACCGAGGCTCATGTTGTTGTCATGTCAAGTTATTCTGTTTAGTAATGTATGCATCAGTGTTCGTCAATGTGGTCCCAGTCCAGAAAAAACTAATTTCAAATTTAGCCTACTTGAAAAAAAAATATCTCATCTTTATAACCACCAAGAGGTTTTTTCACATTTCATCATTACCAATCAATTTTCTTTGCAATTATCAAACAAATTTGTTCTTTGAAACTATCAACTTATTGTTTAATAAATTTAATTTCGTAATTTTTATATGAAGTAATTATATAAATTAAATTATAGGAAGTTAAACATTTCAGTAAACTGATTTTTTTCAAACATAATTTAACGTAAATGAATTAAATACACGGTATAAATAAAGTATATGATTAAAAAAAAAGAGCTATAATTATACAATCCAATAATTTTATTAATATACATCCTATATTTCAAAATGAATTTGATGTGATATTTTTAAGCCAAACATACGAAAATAAATTTTTCTGTTTAAAAAATGTCTGTAATAAGTATTTTTAAAGATTACACAAAAATATGTCTTTTTTTCCCCCATAAGATTACCTATATCAATTTCCATCAACTGTACCTTATGCAAAAAAGTCTATAATTAAAGGGAAAGCTAATATTTGAACTCATAGTTTGGCGAAAAACCATAATCTTAAATATCAGTTGAAAAACAAAACATTGTGCTTCATTACTCAATTATTCACCGCTTCTCTTATGATAGCTGAACTAAAAAGAATATTTTGTAATTTTTGATTAGTTCAGTTCAAGTTATGAAATCGCTCAGGGTCTGGAAAGCAGAATAACTATTTGTCATGTTTATGTAATTCAATAAAATAAAAAAAAATAAAGACTTTGTGTTACTTTAAAATTTGTCGTTTAGTGACATTGTTATAACACTTGAGATCAAGTTTACATTTCACAGTTTAATGAATACAAAAAATGTATTTTATTTTATACTTTTGAATTTTATTTTTGTTTGCTAACATTTTATTTGGTAAAAAATTTGCTAATTACAAAAGGAAGATTAAATTATATAGTAAACATATGAAATTATTATTAATTTAATGTGCATGCATATTGTAGATGATTGTTGTTCATGATATGGTTCTTCATACAAAATTATTATTTAAATTTAATGAATATTTTTGCATGTTCAGTAAAATCTTATACTATGTATTTGGAATGCTAATCCAAATATAATGTTTAATAAAAATATTTAGCATTTATTTCTTTTAAATTATTTCAAAAGTAAAAAGTATGATGAAGATAAAAGTTTAATTTTCTGTGGATTGTAAGCCATATAAAAATTTAAAAATTTAAAATTATAAATGAAGATGCAATGTGCTACAAAAAGATGTGTGCATTTCATTACATGAATGTATATTTATAGTTTGAAACTAATCACATAATTTATAATCAATATAACTATATATATTTAAATTGAGTAGTTTTTATTGATTTTTCAACATTGAAGTTTTTTCTTTGTTTACTCAAAAACAAATTTTTGCTAATATTAATATTTATTCACTGTCACTATTTACTCATTATTATTACATATTATTCATTATTTAAGTTGCTTTAAATAAATTCTTAGCTTATTATTTAAAAAAATATATAGTTTCTCAAATATTAATTAGTTATTTCTATTTTAATTTTGGCAGTTTCTGATTTTGTTTTCTGTGGAGAAAAACAATAAAGGATACAAATGAAACCCAATTGGAAAAAACAGCTAGCTGTGTTCATTTCTTTTATGAAAAGAACGATTGGATCGCCATCTGTTACATTTTGGGGATTACTTAGTTTTGACAAATCAATAACGTAAAAAATCGGTTCTCCCCGAAAGTTATAACATAGTGAAGAAGAACTATACTGTGGAAAAACCCTTGCTTTCCGTGTGCAAAATTACCTTTTTTCTCAGAATATGATTTTATGAACATAAACCGTTTTTATCCCTAAGATCTTCAAATATTTTACAAAAGGGGCAAATTGTGTGACATTTACAAAATTCTAGCTTACTATTAGTAAGTGAATATGATAAGTTTAAATTTTGATTAGATCGTTTTTGACTGAAAATTTCGAATCGGAACTGCGTTTCAAGTAATTTTTTTACAACCATTTTTTTTTTTAAATTGCGTTCTGGCATAATAAATGATGCTAATTATTTGATTCATTAAATATATGCTGAATGTTTAGGCAAAAGTTATGTGATTTCAATTGTTAAAAGACTGATCTTTTTTAGGGTTTTTATTATTAATAATTTAAATAAATCATTTCTGTTGTCAAAAAGTTAAAATAAAAATTAAATTCGAGAAACCATTTCGAACCTAAATAAAAGTAGTGAAATCGGAGAGACCTAACCATAGCAAATTGACTTATAAATTTACCCCTTGCCATTTTTAAAATGCGAAGTACTTAAAGAAAATGACACTATGAAATTTTGAAATTGAAAGAATCTTTTTAGAATTTATAAATAGATTTTTAGGAATTTAATTATGGGAAACTTAGAAAGAGAATTTCATATAGAGAATTTATAATTTTGCTAATACTGCTTATTATATACAAGCTATGCTGCTTATTTGATTCATTGTGCAGATATTATAATTTTTTTTAATAACGGCAGGCACTGAACTTTCATTCTTCGCCTTAGAAGATGCCGAAAGTGTTGCTCATTTATCGTTACCCAGTGGGCACCTGTGAGCCAAAGTCACGGAGGCGAGCNATGTTAAAGTAAACTCTCTGTTTATTCCATTCAATAGAGATTTTATGACATTATCAAAAATTAAAATTCTATTAAACGTCAAAAAATGTGTAAATTAAAAATCATTGAAAGAAAACCTAACAAAAAATACTGCAAATTTGGAGATTCATTTAAAAATAAGCAGATGGAATCCTCGCAACCATCGGTTTTGAACCGAGAACCTCTTGCACAAACAACACAGTCATTTTCACATAGCTACTAGCTACATAGCATTCGCTACTGGAACATTTCGATGGCTGATTTTCTTTTTGCTATGCAGCATAAATTTTTTTAGGAGTAACTTAGGAACCATAAATAACGAGAAAAATATCGTACTTGAATTCAGTGCCTCAAAATATATCAAAATTTTTTGTTTCCTATGAAAATGATATGTTACCGTTTCCTTGTGAGATTGCTTTTCTTAAAATGTTATGTAAATATAAGAACTAATTTCATTATGAATCAGATGATGTAATTTTTTAAAGTTATAACCCTCCCCTCTGAGGAAAGAAAATCACAAAAGAAGAAATTTCGTATCAACGAAACTCTGTGACTTATTTTGTTACGTTTACTTAGTTATCGAGCACACGTACTACACACAATCTAGTCATCTTATCAAACTTATCTCAAAAAATAATTTTGTCTTATCATGAAGCTTAATAGGCCTAAAGTTCACTGGTATCAACCGTTATGCTATATAGATTTCTAAATTTTAACAATTGTCGTTATTTTTCCCTGGACCATTTGATTAGAACCGGTTACAAAAATTCAGAAAGCTCATTGTGTTGAATGAGTTAATAACTATCGTTTACAAAGCAAGTTATAAGCGTTGATTTGAAGCAAATCGTCTGCGTTTTTAATTTCAGATTCGATTGAAGTTTCATAATGGAACGCTGGAATGGAAGAGTAGCTTTAGTGACGGGGGCGTCAGTTGGAATTGGGGCGGCTATCTGTCGTCAACTTGTCAAACATGGAATGGTTGTGGTCGGCTGCGCAAGGAACGTCAAAAAAATAAATGAAATTTCCGAAGAGGATGGCGTAAAAAAATCACCGGGACGATTAATTCCAATGAAGTAAGCATTCTGTTTAATGTGCACAATTCTATAGTTTTATAAATGTTTAGTTTGTTTGTAAACAGTACATAGTTGTAACAGTTCAGTTTGTAAACAGTACAGCCATCGTTGAGATTCGAACCCGGGTCACCTCATTGGGAGGCGAACGCTCTATCATCTGAACCCCCACGTCTGTGCTCTTGCCGTCCGAAGGGCTGATTTTTTTTCAATTATATATTTTCAAATATTTATTAAATATTAAATCACCGGCCATGACAGTAATTATAAATTAGTTTATCATGAAGGACATATAAATACTTTCATATTATGGAAAAGCCTTAAAAATGCGTTTGTAAAAATAAAAATCATAATTAAAAAATATTCCACCTTTCCATTTCTTTGTGAAATGTCTTGTATCAGACAGCAGACGACATCGGAATATAGTATTTTTTTATGTGATGTACAGTGCTAAAAAAACACTGAATAGCTTTTGATCTAATGATTGGATTTTCACGTAACGATTCTCGAAATATGGTGAAATACGCAAAAAATATATTTAACACTACGGAGTCTAAAATTTGGACTGCTCTGCTGAGAAAACTATTGGGACCGTATTTCCCAGATTGTGGCTAACCCCGATATTTTGAGGGTTACATATCCAAATCTGTCTAAAAAAAAGGAATGTTTATTCTGAGAAAGTAAAATTTTGTGTCAGATTTCGTAACTTAAAATATCGTCTGCACCAATTAATTGGTATATTGGAGGTCACCCTCTCAACCCACTAAGAGAGAACCGTAAGACTTTTTTTTATATTGAATTGTAAGTACGTTCTTAAAACATTAAAATATGAGAATTGAATTCTGAATTTTTGTCATTCTTGGAATTTCTGGACCAATAAAGATCAATAAAAAAACCTTGCTTTCTGTTTTTTAGAGTTGACAGAAAATTTTATTTATGGTTCCTGTTTCAAAAATTTTTTTTTTCTTTCTTGTCCATTCGGCAATTCTGAAAGGATTCTTAATTTATCATATTTGCGTAAAGCTTACAATAGTCCTGGATGCTTCGATTAGTGATAGGATATTAAAATTTTTGCTTTAGGAAATCCAGTAATGTCCATTACAATAGTTAGTTTTAATTTCTTAACTCAGGGGTCGGCAACCTTTTGAAATGAAAGAGCCAAAAGTTACAATTTTACAAAATTTCCCGCTTTTAAAGAGCCACTGAAAATTTTTGATTCAATACTATAATATTTTTTTATGTATATATGATTTTTAATTTAAAAAAAACGGTTTTGAATACAGAATGATATTTATTCTTTATTTTTAAAATACGCTATAATTTTTTTAAAATTTAGTTTTTATTTAATTTTTAATTTTTTAACTTATTTCTTTTTGAGGGGGGGGGGANTTGTATTTAAAATATACCATCAGTTTTCTTTATTTTTCGCTGGTAATCAGTCTTATTTATTATCTTATAATTATGATTAACATATTTTTCTATTTTTTAAATACTCGGTTGTAGTATTTTTTTTAAAACAACTATGCATTTTTTATTATATGTTTGCAGTTAATTTTGCGATTTTATAGCCTCAGAGCTAATATTATTTTACACGTTTTGAATGATTGAATCATTGAACAGGACAATACTTCCTAGTGGCAAAAAAAATTCCACGAATAAAGGTTGTAAACAGAGTTACAGAGCGAAAATTTTTATGCTTAATCTGTGACACAAAGAATGTTAGTTTTTATTATTTCAAAAGAAACATATTTATTTTAAATTTTAAAATACTCTTTTTAGTATTTCGTTAAAGCCGTGTAAATTATTATTTTTTTTACATGTTTCTTTTTCATTTTGATTCTGATCCCATTGCAGACAATAAATTTGATGCATCATCCTTTTTTTATTGCCGGAAATAAAAAACAGAAGCTATAATTATTTTTTTGTAAGAATTTCTTTATCATAGGAACTGGGAAGTAGTAAAAATATTTAAAAATATAGCCTCTCTTTCAAAGGAATGAGATTTGTAATATTTTCAAGAAAAGAGAAATACAACCGAGATATTGGGTTGTTTGGAAAGTAATTTCATTTTCTTTCTTTCTGAAAGCAAAAAGCGATTTTCCTATCGTGAATAAATATTTTTATTAAATTTTGCTATATTCATTCTGGTTCAATACGTTTTTCTATCTTTCTGGCAGTAGCATGATTCTTAGCTCATAAAATTATTCTTCTTTAGTGGCAAAAGATTGATGCAGATGATTTTCGACCTCCTCATTTGAAGTAAAGGTATAACTATCTAAACATTTTTGTAGAGACCCGAACAATTACTGTTGAGAACCCATTTCTCGTCCCCAGTGATGATGCGCTTCATAAATGGATAATTTTCTTGACGTTTCCGAAGCAAATCACAGACGTTTAGTACGGCGGGATTAATTTCTTTCCGTAAAAGCATGATGTCCAAATTTTAGACGTAGTTTAAAATTAAACGTAGAAGTTTCAAATGATCATGAAAAGTCGAATTTGACAAATTTAATCTTTGGGACCGTGGTGCCTCGGGGGATAAAGAGCTCGCCTCCCAATGAGGTTTCTTGGGTTCGAATCCCAGCAACGGCTGGTCGATATGAATTCCGCACCAGGATCGTACTGACAACACTGCTGACGTAAAATATCTTCAGTGGTAGACGAATGATGTGTTGGAGTCCCCTTGTCACCTGGCTAACAGTGGGTGGTCTTCGTGGTTTTCCTCTCCATGGGATGCAAATGCGGGTTAATTCCATCAAATTAAGGAATAAGTATAGGGCAAAGTTTGCCTTATACTTAATCCAGGAGTTCCCTTGTTATCTGGATTTGGGTTCAAAATTACGAGGATACGGAGTTAAATATTAATAGTCGTAAACTCAATATCGGGTTGGCTATTCAACGACAGTTATAAAATAAAATAATATAAAATTTAATCTCGAGATAGAGCACTTGTTTCTCAATGAGGTGATTCGGGTTTGAATCCCAGCGATGACTGTTCGATATGAATTCCGCACTCGGCTCGCATGGACTACAGTGCTGACTTAAAAAATCTTCAGTGGTAGACGGATCATGGGTGAGAGTCTCCTAGCCATTTGACTTACCGTGTGAGGTTTTCATGGTTTTCTTCTCCAAGTAATGCAAACACAAAAGCGAAGGTAAATTTCTTCCGATATTTGATCCAAGAGTTCAGTTGTCTTCTGGATTGGATTCAAATTTACAAGGCTACTGAGTTGAACATCGGTAGTCGTAAGCTCAAAATTGGATCGGTTGTTTAATGATGGTTATAAAATAAAATAAAATTTTATCCTTTCGTGATTTCGCGATTTATTACTCGCCTGTTAGTATCAATTAATGCTTTTTTCGTTTCGTCATCAACCTGAACTGGCGTAGTGAATCTTCATATCTTAATTGGAATTTTGCAAATATGCTTTGGCTGTGACGTACTGCCAATACTTCTTTTCCATACATATCGGATGCCGACCGGCCTGTGTAGGGGGCAGGGAACTGTCCTTGCGTCAGAAAGGTTCTGGGTTCGAATCCCGGGCAAGGCATGGATGTTTCTTTCTCTCTCTGTGTGTTTTATGTCCTTTCCCCTTTGTGTGTGAATGTGACCAGCCCTATAAAGGGGTTGTGGTTGTGTGAATGGCGTGGCAGAAGTCGAATTCCTGGCCATAGATGGCGCCACTGAGAAAAACAGGAACAATCGCACCCCCACTGAATAAACAGGCATACTACAAAAAAAATACACATCGGATAATTTTTTTCTTGCTTAAATAACATCTTTGTCATTTTGATATTTAAAAAGTAAAATATGCCGAAAATTCTGCTTTTAGCTTTCTATCTTTGAAAGCGCACCTATATTAGCTTTGAAAAATCTACTATCCGACTTAAGAGTGGAAAAATAAATAATTAATTTCTCTGTTGGGAAAATATAAAATTACTTTCCGAACAACCCAATAGTATATTCCTTTTTTCCTGACTTTGAAAAGCGTGGAATGCTGAAATTCCGAAAGCTTGAATTTCAGATTCATAAAAATTGTGAGTATAGTGTTTTCTCTTGTTCAAGTTTAATGCAACGTTTTTGTAGTAATATTAAATTTGAGATGCATGGAGCGAAAACATAAATGAATTTAGTTTATATTATCTGAAGCTAAGTAAATTTGTTTCTCCCATAAAATGGCACTCTATATAAACAAGCATGAAACTTCGAAAGAGTTTGCAAAATAGCTTTAGTTACAAATTCGTTAAGGATATTCACCTTAGTGCTTTCTCTCGATTTTAAATGTAAAGAAATTTTTTAAAAATAATGACGAATTTAAAATGTACGGAAGGAAAACTAAAAGGGTGTCAGCCAATATTATTTTAAGTTATACGTTAATTTCTTTCTCGTATTTTAAGTGCCACTCTATACTTGGTTAAGAGTTCCAAAGAATTTGCAAAATAACTTAATTGCAAGTTCATAAAAATTATTAACAAAGTGCTTTCTCTTGTTCCACATTAATATAATTTTTTGAAGTAGCATTGAATTTAAATTACACTGAACTTAAACTAAAAACAGGTTCAGTTAATGTTATCTAAACCTATGTAAATTTATTTTTCGTACAAAGTGTCACTCTGAATTTGATATACATGAAAGTTGGATGGAGTTCGCAAATTGTGCTTTGTCGCGCTCGATATTAATAAATTTGTTTTGATGCAAATTTGAATTTAAAATACTTACGACTAAAACTAAAAACATTTTAATGTTATCTAAATCTATAAAAAAAAATTTCTTGTACAAAGTTCTAAAAAATGCTCGATTTATAAGTTCTTAATTTTTGCTTTATGAGGCGACTCGTTCTAAAAAAACGCTATTTCAAGTGTATTTTATTATCTAAACTCACCATCCAAGCTGTAGCAATAATTCGAACTCTGTTGGAGGTTTAGTTCAGCACGTGTAACTTTGAATTAATGAGATAAACATTAATTAGAAGAATATTAAAATTTAGATTTAAAGCTAGAAAAAAACGTTAAGCATCCGAAAATTGTTTTATGAGGCAATTCGTTCTAAAAAAAATGATGTATGAGTTGCGTCTCAAAATCTCTGAACCTCTGGTTTAGTACGTTTGGAGATAACATTCTTAAGTAGAGTGTAGTTAATCTTACAATCGAAACGTAATCTTATAAATCTATGAACAAATAACTATATATGTATACATTTTTACCAGATGTGATCTCAGCAATGAATTAGAAATCCTGGCGATGTTTCAAGCAATAAGACAAGATGTTGGGCGACTTGATGTTTGCATCAACAATGCTGGACTTAGTCACAATGCTCCTCTTCTTAGTGGAACGACGAGTGATTGGAAAAATATGCTAGATGTAAGTTCACCTAATCGTAATTTAAATTTCATTGAAGTGTTATTGAAGCAAGTCCATATGATTTCATTTGTTTTTTGTCTCTGTTATTTCATAATCATCAACTGTTATGTTTACGGAGAAATTTTAGCTAGTAGTGAAACCAGGGTTACTTTTTGGAAGAACAATTACCATAATGGAACACAATTCGAGGGCATGCCATGTAGTTTCTAGAATTTAGATTTTTAATTAGTTAGCGTAAAAGCATGATATTAAAATGAAAAATACATATTAATTATATATTACAAAAATAAGCAGAACTACTTTCCGAAAACAAAGAATTTAGATTACATGTATGATTCAGGGAAGAATTTGCATTACATAAATTTAGAGAAGATTTTACATTATATATCTGATTCAGGGAAGATTTCACATTGTATATCTGATTCAGGGAAGATTTCACATTGTATATCTGATTCAGGGAGGATTTTACATTATATAACTGATTCAGGGAAGATTTCACATTACATATCTGATTCAGGGAAGATTTCACATTACATATCTGATTCAGGGAAGATTTTACATTGTATACCTGAGTCAGGGAAGATTTCACATTACATATCTGATTCAGGGAAGCTTTCACATTACATATCTGATTCAGGGAAGATTTCACATTGTATATCTGATTCAGGGAGGATTTCACATTACATATCTGATACAGGGAAGATTTTACCTTTTACAAGGTGTTTCAGAATGCCGTGGACAAACTTGGAGAGGAGGTAGAGAATATCATTAGGAACCATAATTACATAAAGAAAGCATGGGCGAAAGCGAAAGACACTGAGATTACAATGCAGAATGTAGTGTAAAACGATTTATTATGCATCAAACGAGTACAATGTATGACTAACAAGTGACAGAGAAGGTAATCGAAATTTGCTCATTGACTTGGATGCACGAATGATACCTATGCGACATGGATTGGCGAATATTTTCGAAGATACCTGGCTTTACACTAATCGAAGCAGCAACGATGGAGATTCGTGCCACCAGGGCCATTTCAGAATTTATGGCCATCTCGTACACAATAGTATTCATCGCACGCCGGAGAAAAAAATCAAGAGGAGATAAATCAGGTGATCTGGGAGGCCAAGCACCATGCTTAACCTTATTGTTCCCAAATGTCCTTTTAAGATACAATGCGTGTGTTATTTATTTTCTAAAAGTTTGATACTGGTGATTGATTTCATTTTGATGCTGGTGATCTGAAAATTTAGTCAAAAAAAACAAAAAAATTCATGTTTTCAGAAAGGAAAACGCTAAATTTGACCATTCGGGAAGCTTGACCGAAGAATATAGAATGCAGAAGAAGTTCAGCTCTTCGTATACGTAACTAGCATGAGAAACTGTTCAGTGCTGAATGCTGTGCTAGGAAAACAACTGACAGGGAGCGCAACATCCTCAGATTCAGCCGAGTATCGTGTGTACAACGATTCGAAGGTCATGCGCAAAAGAAGCAAAGTGACTGGCGGGAGTTATGTCATCTGAACAGGTTCTCAAAATTTGCTAGCATAATCAACATGGGCGATAAAAATGAATTCTCAAAGAAATATCTTAATAAATCGTGCAGTATTTTTAATAAATAGTACAAAAATGTATCAAGAAGCCAAAAAAAAAAAAACTATCATTTTCCTTTTTATTCGCTGCAGTGGTTGGGGGTAGAGGTGAATCAAATCCGTTTTAGGAAGATCCTCTGCTTCATAATGTTACCCATAAATTTCCATTAGCTTTTATATAATAAAAGATAATGGGCCCATAAATGTTACTTTCTCTTTTATTTACAGGGACTTTACCAAATTGTGGGGGACCTGTTTACATTATGTCTATGGAAGCTAACCTTTCACCCTTCTGTAATCTGTTCTGTTCTTTGGTTTGACCCAACCTATCTTTTTCATATTCTTACAACTATTTAGCATATGAACACCAGATTAGTACATACTATCCAGGAAAATCCCATGTTATTTCTGTTAATCCGCTATTTGCAAATGAAATAGTTGAAAATATCAAATTTTCACCTTGAAAAGTAGTTTATTTTGTATAAATTCTCTCTTATGCATTCTGTCTTTACCCTTGTATATATAAATGACTTTTTTTATTTTAAATATAGCCATTTTTTTCACGCTTATTTATTTTAAGGTTAATATATTAGCTCTTTGTATTTGCACCAGAGAAGCAGTGAAACTAATGAATGAGAAAGGTATTGACGACGGCCACATTATTCATATTTCGAGGTAAGTTAGCAACGTAAATACAACTAAGTAATGAAAAATAATTAAGCTTCATGAAATTTATCATTTAATCATATTAGAAATTGCGCTGTATTTCAAAAACTAAACATTTAGCTCATTTTATTCTTAGCTAACTTTGGCAGCTTCTTAGCTTTGGTTTTTATTTATATTGTTGGCTTTTTGACATTAGTTTCTGGAATTGTGGTTTTATAACATTTGCACCAGTGATAAAGGTGAGGAAAAAAAAACTATACTGAGTTCTGAGTGTCCGAACCAGGCAGTTCAGACTCTAAAAATTTTAGATTTTATATATATANATATATATATATATATATATATATATATATAAATATTATTTAATTATAATAATCTTAATATCACTCTTTATAATGCGTCTATGTCTCTGAAAAATTTAAAAATGTAATTTCAAATGTGTTTAAGATGAAAGAAGAAAAGCAGAAAACAAACTTACCGATATGAAGTAAAATAAAATAAACGAGTGTTAAAATTAGATATACTGATCTAACTATTAAACAAATTTGTTAAGAAGAAAAAATATGATAAATGTGCTTTTAGCTTTATCGTATAAAATAATTGGTAAAAATATCTAAGCAACTTACATTTCAGTGATGCCATTTATGAGGAAAAAAATATTCATAATAACTATAATTGGAAAATTTAAAAAGCCATAATAAGTAAAGAAGCTAATAAAAACTATAAAAAAATATTTAAATTGTAAAATAAAAAAACAAACAAACAAAACATTCAAATAGGTACTAATAGTATAACATACAAACGTAAACTAGGAATAAACCCTTTTATTGGTTTACCTTCTTTATAGGGTGACTGTTTCTGACTTTATAGGGTGACTGCATATAATGTCAGAGCCTACATACATGGGTATAAAGGCATTTATAAAGTTTATCCTTCATTCATATTTTCTTCCATAACAGTAATATCTACTCGTGTTACCAGCATTCATAGGCATTGTCTGTTTATAGGTATGAGCCCCATTCATACTTATTAAAAAAACTGTTTATCACACTGGACAACTAAAATTTAAAATTATTAAATAAAGGCTACAATTTAGAAGTTTACTTGATAAATTAATTGATCCAGTATAAAAGGTCATACATCCAAACTATTCCTACCATTGGCTTTAGGAATAGCTTATCATAATTAGTTTCTACCTTGAAATTGAATCATAGCTAATCTTATAATTTATTCGTTTCTTTTAAAAATTCTTTATAATTGGAATAATACCTGTAAAGCCTAAGAATCTGATCTGTAATAATATTGGAACAACCCTTATAGGCTAAGATGGAATTTAAATCTATACTCTTATTAATTTGAAAGTTAAAATTAATTCTTTTATCAAAAAGTTTGAATTTAATTTACCTATCTTCTTTAATTTCAAGAAAAACCTGGAAAATTTGCTGAAAGATATCAAATATTAGTTTTGTTAGGAATTGATTAACTTCGATAAATTTGTTTAGCTGGAATTTCAAAATCATTAAAATTAATAACCAAAATATCATTAATAAATCTGAGAAAGAAGGAATTTGTCGGAAGATTATCAAATGAATTAACGAATCTATGTTCTTGAAGAAAAAGAAAAATATTGCAAACATTAGTACTAAAATCATTTCCCATGGGGATACCATTAATTTGTTGAAAAAGACAGTCATTAAATAGAATATAATTGTTGTTAAAGGTAATATGAACCAGAAACTTCCAGCTCTCTTTATCAGTTATATCATTAAGATTAAATAGGCTATGAATTTGAATAAGGTCATCAAGAATTTTATTATTTGGAAGGAAAGCATATACGTTTTCAAAATCAGAACAGCAAAGAGAATCAATATTATTAAAGATTTTAGTGTTTTTAAACATATAAAGCAAAAAAAAAAAAAAAAAAAAAAAAAAAAANCTGTGACACAAAGAATGTTAGTTTTTATTTCAAAGGAAGCATATTTTATTTTAAATTTTAAAAGACTCTTTTTAAGTATTTCGTTAAAGCCGTGTAAATTATTATTATTTTTTTTAAATGTTTCTTTTTGATTTTGATTCTGATCCCATTGCAGACAATAAATTTGATGCATCATCCTTTCTTTATTGCAGGAAATTAAAAACAGAAGCTATAATTATTTTTTTATAAGAATTTCTTTATCATAGGAACTGGGGAGTAGTAAAAATATTTAAAAATTTAGCCTCTCTTTCAAAGGAATGAGATTTGTAATATTTTCAAGAAAAGAGAAATAGAACCGAGATATTGGGTTGTTTGGAAAGTAATTTCATTTTTTTTCTTTCTGAAAGCAAAAAACGATTTTCCTGTCGTGAATAAATATTTTTATTAAATTTTACTTTATCAATTCTGGTTCAATACGTTTTTCTATCTCTTTGGCAGTAGCATGATTCTTAGCTCATAAATTTATTGTTCTTTATTAGCAGAAGACTGATCCAGGTGATTTTTGACCTCCCCATTTGAAGTAAAGGTATAACTGTCTGAACATTTTTGCAGAGACCCAAACAATTACTGTTGAGAACCCATTTCTCGTCCCCAGTGATGATGCTCTTCAAAAATGGATAATTTTCTTGACGTTTCCGAAGCAAATCACAGATGTTTAATACGACGGGATTAATTTCTTTCCGTAAAAGAATTATGTCCAAATTTTAGTATAAACGTAAAATGATCATTCGACAAATTTAATCTTTGGAGCCGTGGTACCTCAGGGGATAAAGAGCTCGCCTCCCAATGAGGTTTCTTGGGTTCGAATCCCAGCAACGGCTGGTAGATATGAATTCTGCACCAGGATCGTACCGACCACACTGCTGACGTAAAATATCTTCAGTGGTAGACGGATCATGTGTTGGAGTTCACTTTCCACCAGGCTAACAGTGGGTGGTCTTCGTGGTTTTCCTCTCCATGCGACACAAATTTTGGTTAGTTCCATCAAATTAAGGAATAAGTATAGGGCAAATTTTGCCTTATACTAAATCCAGGAGTTTCCTCTTCTTCTGGATTTGGGTTCAACATTACAGGAGTTAAATATTGATAGCCGTGAACTCAATATCGGGTTGGCTATTGCACGACAGTTATAAAATAATATAATATAAAATTTAATCTCAAGCTGTGGTGATACAAGGGATAGAGCTCAATGAGGTGAATTGGGTTTGAATCCCAGCGATGACTGTTCGATATGAATTCCGCACTCTGCTCGCGTGGACTGACTTAAAAAAGCCTCATTGGTAGACGGATCATGGGGGAGAGTCTCTTTTGCCATTTGACTTACCGTGGGAGGTTATTATGGTTTTCTTCTCCAAGTAATGCAAACACAAAAGCGAAGGTAAATTTCTTCCGATATTTGATCCAAGAGTTCAGTTGTCTTCTGGATTGGATTCAAATTTACAAGGCTACTGAGTTGAACATCGGTAGTCGTAAGCTCAAAATTGGATCGGTTGTTTAATGACGGTTATAAAATAAAATAAAATTTTATCCTTTCGTGACTTCGCGAGTTATTACTCGCCAGTTTGTATCAATTAATACTTTTATTGTTTCGTTATCAACCTAAATCAACGTAGTGAATCTTCATATCTTAATTTGCTAATAAGCTTTGGCTGTGACGTACTGCCAAAACTTCTTTTTCATACACATCGGATGCCGACCGGCCTGTGTAGGGGGCAGGGAACTGTCCTTGCATCAGAAACGTTCTGGATTCGAATCCCGGGCAAGGCATGGATGTTTCTTTCTCTTTCTGTGTGTTCTATGTCCTTTCTCCTTTGGGTGTGAATGTGACCAGCCCTATAAACAGGCTGTGTGAATGGCGTGGCAGAAGTCAAATTCCTGGCCATAGATGGCGCCACTGAAAAAAGCAGGAACAATCGCACCCCTACTGCCTAAACAGGCATATGACAAAATAAATAAATAAATAAATACACATCGGATGATTTTTTTCTTTGCTTAAATAACATTTTTGTCATTTTGATATTTAAAAAGTAAAATATGCTGAAAATTCTGCTTTTAGCTTTCTATCTTTGAAAGCGCACCAATCAAAAACTATTGCGTAGAATCAATTGAACTTTTTCGCAAGTAAACCTTCCTATATTAGCTTTGACAAATTTATAATAACTACCCGACTTAAGAGTGAAGTTGGCTGTAAAAATAAATAATTAAGTTCTCTGTTGGGAAAAAATGAAATTACTTTCCGAATAAATAGTATATTCCTTTTTTTCTGACTTTAAGAAGCGTGGTAGACTGAAACTGCAAAAGCTTGAATTTCAGATTCATGAAAATTGTGAGTATAGTGTTTTCTCTCGTTTAAATTTAATGCAACGTTTTTGTAGTAATATTAAATTTAAGATGAAAAGATGAGCAATGATAAATTTAAGATGAGCGAAAAATAAATGAGTTTAGTTTATGTTATCTGAAGCTAAGTAAATGTGTTTCTCCCATAAAATGACACTCTATATAAACAAACATGAAATTTCGAAAGGGTTTGCAAAATAGCTTTAGTTACAAATTCATTAAGGATAATCAACTTAGTGCTTTCTCTCATTTAAATTTAAAGATATTTTTTTTAAAATAATAATGAATTTAAATTGTACGGAAAGAGAAGTAAAAGGGTGTCAACAAATTTTATTACATGTAAATTTCTTTCTCGTATTTTAAGTGGCACTCTATACTTGGTTAAGAGTTCCAAAGAATTTGCAAAGTAGCTTAATTGCAAGTTCATAAAAGTTATTACCAAAGTGCTTTCTCTTGTTCCATATTAATATAATTTTTTTGAAGCAGCATTGAATTTAAATTACACTGGACTTAAACTAAAAGCAGGTTCAATTAATGTTATCTAAACCTATGTAAATTTATTTTTCATACAAAGTGTCACTCTGCATTTGACATACATGAAAGTTAGATGGATTTTAAATTCGTGAAGTCAACCTTGTACTTTGTCTCGCTCGATATTAATAAATTTTATTTTGATGCAAATTTGAATTTAAAATAC